TATTCACCTGATGCTGATTCAGGTAGCTACACACCCAGCCCAGAGCAGCAAGGTCATCTGCATTTCCATTGAAGCTGGGCTGATGCCCTCAGGCATTGTCTCTTCAACAGCTAGTGTTCCTAGTGCCAGATCCCCTGTGACCCTGAATTTCTGAGGAGATTCCTAGTGTTGTTCAGTGTTTCCTAGTGGAAGAGATTCCTAGTGTCCTCCAGTGTTTCCTAGTGGAAGAGATTCCTAGTGTCCTCCAGTGTTTCCTAGTGGAGGAGAGTCCTAGTGTCCTCCAGTGTTTCCTAGTGGAGTAGATTCCTAGTGTCCTCCAGTGTTTCCTAGTGGAGATGATTCCTAGTGTCCTCCAGTGTTTCCTAGTGGAGATGATTCCTAGTGTCCTCCAGTGTTTCCTAGTGGAGATGATTCCTAGTGTCCTCCAGTGTTTCCTAGTGGAGGTGATTCCTAGTGTCCTCCAGTGTTTCCTAGTGTAAGAGATTCCTAGTGTCCTCCAGTGTTTCCTAGTGGAGGAGATTCCTAGTGTCCTCCAGTGTTTCCTAGTGGAGGAGATTCCTAGTGTCCTCCAGTGTTTCCTAGTGGAGGGGATTCCTAGTGTCCTCCAGTGTTTCCTAGTGGAGGGGATTCCTAGTGTCCTCCAGTGTTTCCTAGTGGAGATGATTCCTAGTGTCCTCCAGTGTTTCCTAGTGGAGATGATTCCTAGTGTCCTCCAGTGTTTCCTAGTGGAGGTGATTCCTAGTGTCCTCCAGTGTTTCCTAGTGTAAGAGATTCCTAGTGTCCTCCAGTGTTTCCTAGTGGAGGAGATTCCTAGTGTCCTCCAGTGTTTCCTAGTGGAGGAGATTCCTAGTGTCCTCCAGTGTTTCCTAGTGGAGGGGATTCCTAGTGTCCTCCAGTGTTTCCTAGTGGAGGAGAGTCCTAGTGTCCTTCAGTGTTTCCTAGTGGAGGAGAGTCCTAGTGTCCTTCAGTGTTTCCTAGTGGAGGAGATTCCTAGTGTCCTTCAGTGTTTCCTAGTGGAGGAGAGTCCTAGTGTCCTTCAGTGCTTCCTAGTGGAGGAGATTCCTAGTGTTCTTCAGTGCTTCCTAATGGGGAAGATTCCTCTTGTACCCCAGTGTTTCCTAGTTAAGAAGATTCATAGTGTCCCCCCAGTGCTCTTGAGTGGTGAAGATTTCTAGTGCCCCAAAGTTTTCTAATGGAGAAGATTCCTGGTCTTTGCCAGTGGTAAAGATGCCTAGTGAAGAAGATTCATAGTGTTCCTCAGTTTTTACTTGTGGGGAAGATGACTAGTTTCCTCCAGTTTTTCCCAGCAGAGAAACTTCTTAGTGTCCCCCAGTGTTTCCTAGCGGAGAAGATTCCTAGTGTCCCCCAGTGGAGAAGATTCCTAGTGTCCCCCAGTGGAGAATATTCCTAGTGTCCCCCCGGTGTTTTCTAATGGAGAAGATTCCTTGTGTCCCCCAGTGTCTCCTAGTGGAGAAGTACCCCCCCCCCCCCCCCCCCCAATGTTTTTCAGTGGAGAAGATTCCTAGTGTTTGCCAGTGGAGAAGATACCTAATGAAGAAGAATCATACTTGTGGGGAAGATTCTAGTTTCCTCCAGTTTTTCCCAGCAGAGCAGATTCTTAGTGTACCCAATGCTCTCTATTCAAGAGGAATCCAAGTAATCCCAAGACTCCTAGTCCCGTGAGCGTTAAACCCCAGTTCTGTACTCCTGCCATTCCTGTGAAACAAGTATTTCATAGTTACATAGTTGGTCTGGCTGAAAAAAAGACAAAAGTCCACCCAGTTCAACAATAAGAAAAAAAGTTATAATCCTATACCCCCAGTTGATCCAGAGGAAAGCTCCTGCTGGGGAAAAAAAATCCTTCCTGATCTCCTATATTCCCTGGATCAACTTTATTCCGCGCTTTTCCAAATCTTTGTCTTTAGTGCGTCTCTGTACCAGGTCAGTTATAGCTTGCATGGGTCTACTCTCCGAGCACACTACCATCCAGCATTCAGGTTGCATATTGGGCTCACGATCCCCAATAATTTATGATAGTCACCTACATGAAAGGGTGTGTTTAGTTATCGGTCAAGGACACCTTGCGTTTAATTTCCAGAACTCACAGAACCTATGAGCTATTTCTAGGTATGCTATAGGAACTGTATGTTGACAATGGACCTGTCAGCAGATACTCATACTTCACAACTTTCTGAGATGGGAAAGAGGGACACATTATAGTACAGAGTATTATGGTACTCTGACTTCAGTTGTCTACATTTCGATCTTTTTCAGGCCACTCTCCAACTTTCCATCGCAAAATAAGACAGCCTTTCAAAACTGTTTCTGAGATCATTTAACCATGTCGCTAGAAACTGTTTTGGTGATGGAAAGTCGATTGAAATAAAAAAAAAAAAATAAATCTGAGAATATATTCACGTTTTGAGGTCAGCATTGATCTGGTGCTCCTCCTCCAACCGCTCTACCCTACGGTCTACTGGGAACTGAAAGTTAATGGCATCAATGTGACTTCTATGTTTTATAAAGATGTTCTTGTAGTGTGTAAATCTCACTATTGTTTTGATTGGTTGTCATCAGGAACAAAGAGGAGAAAAACAAGGCCATTTGTGGAAGGACTTCTGTGTAGACAATTCAGAGGATGGACAAGAGTCCCGCAACCAAGAAGATATTAGAGCTGACACTGGAGATCATCTGCCTGCTGACCAGAGAGGTGAGGAGGATTCTGGGAGGTCACATGACATCACTCTTTTCCCTAATAATAAAACAGACCTGACCGGAGAGGTGAGGAGGATTCTGGGAGGTCATATGATCACTCTTATCTCTATTAATAAAACACAGACCTGACCTGAGAGCTGAGGGGAGGTCACATGACATCACTCTTTATCTCTAGTAATAAAACACAGACTTGCCGAGGAATCTAGGCGGTCCACACTATCAGACTATAGAAGTGCAGGATGTTGAGAAAGGTCAGCTTTCATTCTATAACCAAAACAGAAAAATCACATAATGGACACATGAAGGATTCTGGGAGTATCTGAGTCAATATTGATATTTATTAAAAATTTCCCCAACAGGATTGTGCAATAGTGAAGAAAACATCTGGTGAGCAGGACACATCAAAAACCTCTTCCCATTTGCTGGGATATTGGAGACTGACCCAGAGACCCATCACCGTGTCTTCACTGGACATTCTGAGACCTGAGCAAATTGAGAAGATTCTAGAAGTCACTCAGAAGATCATTGATCTGCTGACAGGAGAGGTGAGCAGTGCTGGGAATTCTGGGACATTTTCCAGTAACAGACAAGGGATGTGTCTGGATGGTGACTGTATCATTGTGTGTGTCAGGTTCCTATAAGGTGTCAGGATGTCACTGTCTATTTCTCCATGGAGGAGTGGGAGTATTTAGAAGGACACAAGGACCTCTACAAGGACGTCATGATGGAGAACCACCAAATCCTGAATTATCTGCAACTGAAAAAGAGAAAAATTCTCCTCAATGATGTAATTCTGAATCTCGCCCTGGAGGTCATCTGCCTGCTGACTGAAGAGGTGAGAAGGATTCTGGGAGGTCACATGACATCACTCTTCTCCCTATTAATAAAACAGACCTGACCAGATAGGTGAGGAGGATTCTGGGAACACAGACAGTAATTATTTTACCATCTCCTTTTTTTGCAGAGTTATGAAGTGGTAAAGAAAGTATCTGGTGAACAGCTAACAGCAATCAGCTGTCCCAATGGGTCATCTCCCTTTGTGACATCTGACACACATGACAACCAGCAGTGGAGACCCCACAGCCTTCTCCATGAGTCATCCACCATTACAGTGCCTCCACCCAACTGCATGATAACTAATGCTAAGAAAATTCAAGAGGTCACCAAGAAGATCAATGAGCTGCTAACAGGAGAAGTAAGTGGTTCTAGGAATTCTGGGACATTCTCCAGTAACAGACAAGGGATGTGTCTGGATGGTGACTGTATCATTGTGTGTGTCAGGTTCCTATAAGGTGTCAGGATGTCACTGTCTATTTCTCCATGGAGGAGTGGGAGTATTTAGAAGGACACAAGGATCTCTACAAGGACGTTGTGATGGAGGATCAGCAGATGTCAACATTACTAGGTAAGAGGAGACTGGATAGCTTATGGTGGGCAGAAAATTAGGAACACCAGTTTTACTGAAATCATAACCACTTTGCCTATGGTCGTTTTCATTAGTTTTAAATCATTCCATTGATATTGTTATTTTATTTTAAAACCTTTTTTCAGCAGTTTGTTATGTTTTACATATGTAAAACAATCCTTGGCAAATCTATAATTGCTTTTCTGTCCATAAGAGTGTCATTAAGGTACTGGACCAAACACACAAATGTGCTCAGCAAATGAGGATTTACTGTACAGCATATGAAAGGTACATCGCCTTTCCTCAATATAACGTCACATTCCCAACAAATGAGGAGAAGATACTGTACACCATATGAAAGGTCCATCTCCATTCCTTAATATAATGTCACGTTCCCAACAAATGAGGAGGAGATACTGTACACCATATGAAAGGTCCATCTCCATTCCTCAATATAAGGCCATGTTTTCAACATATAGTATATGACATTTGACTTTCAAATATAAAGAATGAACATGTTTCTAATAATAATAAATATTTCTTTCCAACAGATGCATATAAAGTTCAAAATACTTCAGAAGGACAAGTTAATTTTTCTCCAGATCGTAGCTCAGAAGACCTCAAACAATGTTCTCCACATATACGCTCCAGACTTCGTCCTAGATCAGTGAATTCATCTGATCCTGCCCTCATTTCTGAAAAATCACATGGTGTTATCTCAGATGACCACCCAAGTTTTCGAGGTGGATCCAGAAATCCTTCTGACTCTGAAGAATCATCTTCTGATCCATCACCTACTGTAAAGCACAGAGGCAAGAAGATGTTTAGATGTTCTGAATGTGATAAATGTTATACAAGAAAGGTACATCTCATTAGACATCAAGTTGTGCACACTGGGTTGCTGCCCTATACATGTTCAGAATGTGATAAATCTTTTGGCGAAAAGGCAGTACTCATCCAACACTTTAGAGTTCACACTGACGAGAGACCATTTTCTTGCTCAGAATGTGGACAGGGTTTCAAGCAGAGAAGCCATCTCAAGAGTCATCTTACTGTTCACTCAGGTGAGAAGCGTTTTTCTTGTTCAGAGTGCGGGAAGTGTTTTAAAAGGAGAGACTCCCTAACTGTACACCTGCGTAACCACACGGGTACAGTGGCTACATACAAACATACTTGTACAGAATGCGGGAAAGGCTTCACGAGGAGGGGTATACTCATTAAACACCAGCGTACCCACACAGACGAACAACCATTTTGCTGTACAGAGTGTGGAAAAACGCTTCAAGCAGAAGTTCAGTCTTGACCAACATTGGAAAGTTCAACACTGTGGAAAATATAGTAGCAAAAAGGTCTTTTCATGTTCAGAGTGCGAGAAAATTTTTTCCAAGTAAAGCGAAGCTTGTGAACCACCTAAGGGTTCACACTGGAGAGAAGCCCTTTTCATGTCCTGAATGTGAGAAATGCTTTGCAGAAAAAGGGGTGCTTAGTAGTCATTTGAAACGTCACACCAGGGAGAAGTTTTGTTGTTCAGAATGCGGAAAAAAAAAGTTCACCTCTAAAGGTTATCTAGTTATACACCAGAGAATTCACACAGGTGAGTGTCCTTATAAGTGCTCAGAGTGTGAGAAAACATTCAGTTGCAAAAGTTACCTCTTTAAACACCAGAAACTTCACACCGGTGAGACCTTTGCATGCTCAGAGTGTGAGAAATTCTTCAGAAAAATGTCACTTCTCTCTAAGCACCAGAGAATTCACAAGGGTGAAAAACCCTATGACTGTTCCAAGTGTAAGGAATCATTCACTACGCAATCACAGCTCATTAAGCACAAAAGTGTTCACAGCAGGTAAAGCACAGCAGGTGGAGAGTGCAGGAATTCATTCAAAAGGAAAAGACAACTTGAGGTCTACCAGAGACTTTACACACAACAAGACCCCACTCCTATTCCTAGAGTAACAAAAATGAATTACAAAATCAGGACTGAAGGTCTACCAGATATTTTACACCAGAGAAGAGCCCTATTCATGTTCCTAGTCTGACAAATCATTCACCATGAAATCAGAACTTGAGGTCCACTAGATACTTCACGCCAGAGAAATGCCCTATTCATGGTCCTTGTGTGACAAATCGTTGACTACGCAATCAGAACTTGAGGTCCACCAGAGTCTTTACACTGGAGAAAATCACTACTTTTGTTCCAAGTGTGACAAATCATTCACTAAAAAAATCAAAACTTGAGGTCCACCAGATACTTCACACCAGAGAAAAGAAACCCTATTTATGTTTCTAGGGTGACAGATCATTCACTACGCAATCAAAACTTGAGGCCCACCGGAGACTTCACATCGGAGAAGAGCCCTATTCATGTTTTTATTTTCACAAATCATTCACTAAGGAATAAGAACTAAAGGTCCACCAGAGACTTCACACTGGCAAAAAGCCTTATTTTGTGTTCCCAGTATGACAAATCATTCACTAATGAATATTCACTTAAGGTCCACCACAGACTTCACAAATAGTTGATTACAAAATCAGAACTGAAGGTCAACCAGATATTTTACACCAGAGAAGAGCCCTTTTCATATTCCTAGTCTGATAAATCATTCACCACGAAATCAGAACTTGAGGTCCACCAGAGACTTCACTCCGGAGGAAAAAAAAAAACCCTATTTGTGTTCCTAGTGTGATAGATCATTCACTACGCAATCAAAACTTGAGGCCCACCGGAGACTTTACATCGGAGAAGAGCCTTATTCATGTTTTTATTTTCACAAATCATTCACTAAGGAATATTCACTTAAGGTCCACCACAGATAGTTGATTACAAAATCAGAACTTAAGGTCAACCAGATATTTTACACCAGAGAAGAGCCCTATTCATGTTCCTAGTCTGACAAATTATCACACCACGCAATCAGAACTTGGAGGTCCACTAGATACTTCACACCGGAGAGGAGCCTTATCTCAGAACTTGTGGTCCACCAGAGACTTCACACCGGAGAGGAGCCTTATTCATATTCCTAGTGTGACTAATTATTCACTAAGGAATAAGAATGTAAGGTCCACCAGAGACTTCACAAATAGTTGATTACAAAATCAGAACTTGAGGTCCACCAGAGACTTCACACCAGAGAAAAGCCCTATTCATGTTCCTAGTCTGAAAAATCATTCACCACGAAATCAGAACTTGAGGTCCACCAGAGACTTCACTTTGGAGAAAAGCTCTATTAATGCTCCTAGTGTGACAAATCATTCACTAGAGAAATCAGAATTCATTACCCACCAGAGACTTCACACCAGTGAGAAGCCCATTTAAAATTCTGTACTGAGCAGATGTTTCACACACAATAGGGATCTTCCTAATCATTTGGCCCTCCATAAATTGGAAAAAGCCTTTTCCTGTCCAGAATGCTGGAAGTGTTTCATGAAGGAATGTGTTCAATTCCACATTTAACATCTCAAAATACTGCACAAAAATGAGAAAAATAAAAACTTGGGTATGGGAGTTACTTGTTTTTACCTCTCAGCTTCCACCTGAAGTGCCTGGGTGGGGAGGATGTTACCATCCTTCCAGACAAGATCCCAGGGAAGGTTGAGTAGCCTGAATCTATTGAGCACACATGAATGCACTACGCTCTAGAGCGATATCCCATGAGATTTGGGGTACTCGGCATTCCCTGGGACCGTATTGGAAGGAGTATAACATCATCACCCTCAATACGGAAACTTGGGGAAAGGTAAGTACATTATCCAACCACAGATTTATTTATTTATTTTCATTTTGTCTGCAGCAGTTTAATACAGGAGAGTGGGCCCTCAGTGAATACCTGGACCTTCCATGGAGTGCATACATTTTTTTTTTTTCTACATTTCTATGAAAAAGATGAGGTTTTTTTTTAAAAGTGAGCCACCATATTGAACCACGGCCCCCCCAAAAAGTAGTGTATAAACAATGTATATAAAATATTATACATTTTTCTTCGGACGTCTCTGAATGTGTGAAGCCACATTATAATACTCCTCGTGTGGTGGCTAGTAGAGAGGCAGATGCAATGCCAGGGTTCATGTAAAAAAAAACAAAAAAAACTCCATATTAAGGTGATGACTACAGGAACAGTTCGCCCGCTTCAGCTGATCTTGGACTTACCATGCATTGCTCTGCATCATCTTTGTATGGATGTGGCCATGTTGGTAGAGGCAGGGCTTTGCTTCCTCGTGTAGGAAGAACTGTGAGCAGCCTCGCAGTGACTTCACCAAACCTCACTTCATATTGCCTACACTAATAGTCAGAGGCTGCAGTGCCTTAGATGATCTCACACCGCAGATATACAGCCGTAGGACTATAGAACAGGGGTGCCTAGTCAGAGGACGTGCTATTTTCAGGAGCAATTAAAGACCAATGGTAGATTTTTAGGGTGCTTCTTAGGCATAATTATCTTTTTTGGTTGTTCCCTATAACAAAGCAAATCTTCACTGATAGAGATCAGAGATGCTTTACTATTGTATAAATGCTATATTATGTAATAATTTTATATCTGTATTATATTGGGTGTATTATTATTATACAGTATTTATAAAGTGCCAATAGTTCGCTCAGCGCTGTACATTACAAAGGGGGACAGAACATGTGACAGAACAATAACAATACAATGCAAAACATGAGGGGATCGAGGGCCTGCTCTTTTGAGCTTACAATCTAGGAGGGAGGGGATGGTGGCACAGGAGGAGAAAAGCTGTAGGGGATGGAGTGGTAGGAAGAGTGGAGGAGGTCGGCAAGTTAGCAGGGGGTGGGGTAGGCTTCCCTGAAGAGGTGGGTTTTCAGGGTGTGCCTAAAGGAGAGGAGAGTAGGTGATAATCTGATGGGTTGGGGCAGGGAGTTCCAGAGGATGGGTGACACCCTGGAGAAGTCCTGGAGGCGGGCATGGGAGGAGGAGACCAGGGAACTAGAGAGAAGGAGGTCTTGTGAGGAGCGGAGTATGCGTGCTGGGTGGTACTTGGATATTAGGTCGGTGATGTAGTTCAGGGCAATATGGTGGACGACTTTGTACGTCAGTGTTAGGATTTTGAATTTGATCCGTTGCACAATCGGAAGCCAGTGGAGGGATTGGCAGAGGGGGGTGGCGTAAACGGAGCGGTTGGAAAGGTGAATGAGTCTGGCAGCCGTATTCAGGATCGATTGAAGCGGGGATAGCCAGCGGCGAGGCAGGCCAGTAAGGAGGGAGTTGCAGTAATCGAGTCGTGATATGATGAGGGAGTGGATGAGCTGTTTAGTGGTTTCTGGGGTTAGAAACGTGCGGATTTTGGCGATGTTGCAGAGATGGAGTCTGCATGAGTTTGTTAAAGATTGGACTTGGGGCTGGAAGGATAGGTTGAGTCCAGAATGACACCAAGTACTCTGGCCTGCGGGGCGGGTTTGATGGTGGCGTTGTTGGACATGATGGAGAAGTCAATGGGGGGTGGGGGGTCTGGGCTGGGGGGGAAGACAAAAAACTCGGTTTTGGAGAGGTTCAGTTTAAGGAAGTGGAGCGACATCCAGTCTGATATGTCGCTCAGTAGGTGTGTGATTCGGGGCGGAGACTGAGGGGGTTAGGTGGGGGGTTGAGAGATAGATTTGTGTGTCGTCGGCATAGAGGTGGTAGTTGAAGCCGTGAGAGTGTATGAGTTGGCCAAGGGAGGAGGTATAGATGGAGAAGAGAAGGGGCCTGAGGACGGAGCCTTGAGGGACCCCAACAGAGAGGGGGAGTGAGGGGGAGGTGGTAGCATTATAGGTAATGCTGAAAGAGCGTTGTGACAGGTAGGATGAGAGCCAGGAGAGAGCAGAATCTCTGAGGCCGAGGGAGTGTAGTATTTTGAGGAGGAGGGGGTGGTCAACTGTGTCAAGGAGTAGGAGCACTGAATAGTGGCCATTAGCTTTGGCGGTTAGCAGGTCGTTGGAGAGTTTGAGTAAGGCAGTTTCGGTGGAGTGTAGGGGACGGAAGCTGGACTGTAGGGGATCGAGGAGGTTGTTGTCGTTGAGGTGAGAGCTTAGGCGGGTGTAGACTAGGTGCTCGAGGAGTTTGGATGTGAATGGGAGCAGGGAGATGGATCTGAGGTTGTTCAGGTCATTGGGGTCCAGGGAGGGCTTTTTAAGTATGGGGGTGATGTGTGCATGCTTCAGAGGGGAGGGGAAAGTGCCGGAGGAGAGGGAGAGATTAAAGATGCGGGTGAGGGAGCGTAGGATGGAGGGGGAAGGAGGTTGTAGGAGTTGTGAGGGGATAGGGTCGAGGGGGCAGGTGGTGAGGCCGGCATCGGAGAGGACCCTGGAGACTTCCTCGATGGTAGTAAGGTCAAAGGTGTGGAGTGTTGAGGGGGCTTCAGTATGAGGAATGTAGGGTGGGGTGGAAGTGGAGGTCAGAGCAGTGGTGGGGCCGTGGGAGAGAGGGGTGATGAGGGGGTAGTTGAGTGAGGGGGAACGGGGTTGGAGGGAGTTTGAGCAATTACGAAGTCGTCCCTGCGGATTATGTCGAGGGAGAGGGGGGATGAGGGGGTAGCTGTGTGAGAGGGGGGGACGGGTTGAGAGGGAGTGTGAGTTGCGGCGATGTCCTTGCGAATTGTGTCAATCTTGTTTTTGAAATGATTGGCAATCTCAAGAGCGGTGAGTGAGGTGCTGGGTGGAGGTGGAGAGAGTAGAGAGTTGAAGGTGGAGAAGAGTCGGCGAGGATTGGAGGAGAGGGCCTTGATGAGGGTCAGGAAGTAGGCTTGTTTGGGTGCGTGGAGGGAGGAGGTGTAGGTGTGGAAGGCAGATTTGTAGCGGGTGAAGGCTTGTTGGGATTTGGTTTTGCGAAATATATTTGTGTATATATTTTTTAGC